GGTGCGGGAGGTTGACCATAGTGAAATTTTTTCTCGCCAGTTATAGTCTCAGGCTCTATGTCAAGAAACGTCGAGGGCCCTGATGGGCCGGGATGTGTGTTTGACGGAGGGTAATTTGGTGGTGGATACGGGTTCTGTATAGGTTGTTGATACGTGTCCTGTGCTGGTGGATGCGAATCATACGTGCTTGTATTCTGTAACGGTGGATACGGATATCTGTATTGCTCATGATAACCACCGTAATTAGACGTCATTCTTTGTTATCAATTTTCTTACGAAGCAAAATTTTCGATCTAATAGGAATATAAAGCATTAATTCGGATTTTTCTGCATTTAAACTCCGACCTAAAACCATATATGAAAAACCCATATATGAGAACTTTTAAATGAATATATTGCGCGTTACGGCGTTACGGAACATTTTGCGTGACATTACACGATTACAGTTTATGCCAAGATTTTTAAGAATGAACTAGGGCTAGATCTTTTTCTGTGAGCAGCTGAACTGCTTGTGACGACGGTAAATGCAACAGTGCGAAGCAAAAAAATCCTTGAAAATAAATTTACTTCATGATTGATAATTTATAAATATACTTATAACTCTTTAATTATTATTTCTGCGAACAAATGCTATTACATTATACGTACCGTATATTAAAAATACATTTTTGAAAAAAAAATAAACAAAAGAAAATAACAATTTATAAAATTATAGAAAAAGAATTTTTTTATAAAATCATAAAGTTTTAAAATTACAAAATGGAATTTTTTTAAGAATATGATATGGTTATAACGACATTAAATTAATATGTATATTATATAAAAAAAATGATTTAAAAAAATTTATACTTAATAAAAGCATTTACAGAATTTACAGTATAAACAGTATATAAAGCTTGCTCTTTTTTTATTTTTATTTTATTTGTTTTTTCATGAACCTACTTTTCATAAATTATTTTCCATAATTTCGATTATTATATTTTCGAAATGAAGTAAATAAATAAAAATGTATAAAAAATAATCCACATGTTGTTGTACATAAATTAACAGCTTTTTACTTTGGTTAACAAGATATTATGATGAGTTATTAATTAAAAATTTTTCGATTTCAAAACATAATTTAATTTAATTATACAATTATATTCACGATTACAGAATTTAAAAATTTCTTAATAATTAAAAAAAAATTTTTATTTTAATGATAAGATTATTAAAATCTAAAAAATAATATTTTATAATTATTTTATTTTATTTTATTTTATTTAGTATATACATAAATATAACAAATAAAATAGATACAGTATACCATATAGAATAAATAAACATTTTTTTCTTATTTTTTTTCACATATATTTTATGAATAACTGATAAATAACTAAATTTACAAATAAATTCTTTTATTCGTTTCTCTATACTACATTATCAGAATATAAGTTTGAATAGATTACTTATAGCGTACTATATTCTTGTTTGAACCATTAATTTTACCTTAGTGAATTTATAATTTCAATTTGAGTATTGATTCTGTTTGAATGTTTATAAGTTATGCGTTATGCTTGCTTAAACATACAAATTTATTTGATCCTCTCATTCTTGAGTCTACAGTTTAATCTGATCCCTCTTTCTCGACTAGTCTTTTCCTTTATACAATTTCTCGATTGTAAAAATCAAACTCAAACTACGCGATCGTCAACACTACGTAATATTTTATTAACTTCTAAACACTATACTACATAATCGTAGATTCATCTATATTAATAATCCAAATTTGGCAAACATTCTTTAGTAAAAAATTGACTGGGTAATTTTAAATAAATTGTTATCACAATACAGCTTTCTTTTTTAAAACTTCGCATTAACCTTATATGTGGAAGTAACTTTACTGGTTTAATTAGCTATCCATACCTTTTACTGTACTTTGTTTTCGTAAAAAGTCTTTGAGTGTGTTTCACAAATATATGTACTATATATAGTGAATATTGGTTGGCAGACTTTACCCATCTTTTAAATTCAACGCTTGACACATTGTGTCTTTTAGAGTTTTTATGTTGGATCGTATCAATCATCCAAGATGTACATATTTTTGTACTCTTTAGGTCAGATCATTCTCAATGTATGATAAGAACCTGTTACAGTACAGACTGAGAAACTAGTAATTGATAAATTAAGAAGGTGATATGGTACTTTATGAGCTCTTAATACATCGTTAGCAACAATGGCTTATTCGAAAAACCTTGCAGATCTTGACTCGCCTCAGTCATATATAGAGATTCGACGAAAACTCAATTGATGATCAACAAGAACCACGAGAATTATCGTGGTTCTGTAATAACGCGTTTATTACTGAGAGAACAAGAAATAATTTTTTTGATTGAAAAAAAAAAAAAAGATCTATAAAACTTCTGCATTATTGTTTTGCACTTATATTCTCCTTTAATTTTTTCTTCTTTTTTTCAACTAAAATAATTAACGATATCAAGAGAAAGATGCACCAGTTGTCATTTTCGCCATCATTCTACTTAATTAAACTTACTTTACATATATTCACACTTCTAACATGTTCACGATATGTATCTTTGGGTTTACCTGTAAATGGCGATGACTTTATTTATAAAAGAGAAGATTTAGACCATCTAAAAATAAACGGAACTGATTTGTTACCATATGCAAGCAAGTCTCGTTATTATTTAAGAAATAGCATTTTTACTGTGTTTTTATTAATCAATTTATGATACATGCGACTTTAGAGAATATTTTCGTGGAGTACAAATTCACTATTATAGTGGTCGTTGCAATTTTGGTAATTTTGCTATTTTTATATCTTGCCGCCCTTTGTATGCATAAAAAGGTAAATGGAAGTGCGTTCTTGCAATTGATATTTTTTGTAATTTCTTAACGGATGAAATAATTTCTTTCCTTGCGCAAAGGGCCAAAACTTCATTATATTTTCACTGGCATTGATATTCGTGGATTTTACTTTTGATTGTTTGTTTTTCTTGAATAACGCGAAAGATGTAAAATCGCTTTATTTACCAAGGTTTGTTGGAAAGGTAAATGTCATGTAAAGATTGCATTCCCGTAACTAATTCATGATTTTCTTAGTCTTCTTGTGCTAGCGATACCAGCAATGATCAATTTCGCATCGGCGTTATATATAATGGTATATGAAAGGATAAATAACCCAAGGTTTCAAAATTGGCTTTATGATCATTCAACATTTGCTGCTATAATAACGGTTTGCTCTTCGGCAAATATCCAAGCAATAAGATTAATCTACTCCGAACTCTTCAACTGTGAGATATTCAAAGCTGGGATTTCTATTAAATCAAATAAATGGATTATGTGGATTAGCGTATTAGATGCAATAATTGAGGATATCCCTCATTTTGTTATTCAGGTGTGTACAGTATAAGCCCTTTCCAAATTTCATTGGTAAAAATATCCATCGATGAGATTTTTGACAATTTTTTTTTTTTCGACATACGTAGTTGTTGTACCACAAATCTCAATCCTACTATTCTGTGATACCATTTTTCACGTTGGTCTCTAGTGTAATATCATTGCTGGTTGCCATACTGGGTAGATTTTATGATGCCTTGAATGCCTCTGAATTTTAATTATGGGAGAAATCATGCGCTATCATGTAAATGACCGCTTGAAGGAGAGTTCAATTTCATGCTATTTTTCATTCTGTATTGATTTCTCGAATATTAAGGCATTGAGATTTCATTATAAAATTGGAGTCTTAGAGTAATATACATTACACCGAACATCTGTATAGAATATATTTTGCTTTAAAAGAGAAATTTTATTTTATTTTCTTATCATTAACAAAAATATATTTCATAAATAAAATTTAAATTCAATTGTCATTATATAAATTCGAATATTTAAGCAACACATTCGATGCATGTAATTTCTATTTATAAATGGTTTAAGATGAATGTGAAATTATGTTTGAAAAAATTTCTAATTTTGTACTGTAATGCAAAGTAAAACGTACCATTAAAACAACAATACATAAACAACTGTTACAGAAAATTCATAAAAAAGTTCAAACAAGCTCGTGATTTTATAAATAAAGTTTTCAAGCATATTTGTAAGAATTTGATTTTATTGTATATTCTTGATCAAAAATATGTTAAAAAAATTTTTTTTAAATATAAAAAATTTATTGATAAAGTATACTGTGGGACAAAAATAATTGGAAAAATTAAACTCAAATTTTTATTAATAATTAATAATTAATTAAATAATTAAAATAAAAATAAACACATTTATATTTGAATATATAAAGAATAGAAATATATAAAATTGTTTTTTAAATATATTAAAATAATATAATTTTAAACTATAATTAAAAAAAGAAAACAATTTAAAATTTAAAATTTTTTATTAAATATAAAAAAAAACAATAATCAATTGTTAAAATTATTTCAATATATAAATTAATTAAATATAGATTAATAAAACTTTAAAATAGGTTTATTATAATTTTTATATTAATAAAAAATTTTTTTTAAAAAATTTTTTGTTTAATATTAAACTATCTACTTTTTATATTAATTTAATAAATAATATTTTATTAAATATATTTTATTAAAAAAATAATCAATTATCATATGATTTTTTAATAGTTAATTTATAATTTATAAATTTTTTATAATTAAAAATCTAATGTTGTTTCTTTCTGAATATATATATAATTATTTGTATAAAAAATAAAAAAAATAGTGTTTATTTATTTAAAAAAAATTATTATTATTATTAAAAATTTAATTTTTTAAATAATTATTTTTTTTATTTTTAATATATTTTTTAATTTAATTAATATTTTCTATAAAGATATTATGTAATTATTAATAAAATAATTTTTTTTTTATAATATAATAAAATTTTTTTATTAAATATTATTAAAAAGTAAATAGTTTAATATTAAGTCAAAAAAAATTATTTCAAAATTTTATTAATTTATATTTAATTTAATTTATATATTGAAAATAAATTTAATAATTAATATTTTATTTTTTTATAATTGATAAAAAAATTTTAAATTTTTTTTTTTTTTTTTATCACAAACGAGTATTAAATGTGAGATTTTATTTAAATATATAAATTTACTGTCATTACATTAACAATCTTTAGAAAAACTAAATTAATTGTAGTCTATCGCAACAAATCTATTGATGCCAGATACCACCTCGGGGATGGACTTACATCAATAGTGCTGAATGGCTAATGCCAGTTCAGAATGATGATACTATTGCTGGGATAAAAATTGATTTATCAGTGAAGTTCAATGAAGTATTTAACAGGTTTAAAATTTTGTTGAAAGTGGTATTGTCATTAATATTTAGATTTGGTGCCTTGGATCCAGGTGTTTTTTTCCATTTTATACCAGATGACAATAAGATTGTTGCTGTGGCAGATCGTATTTTCCAAGCCTTATAAAGGATTTTAAGGGTGTAATTAGAAATATCTTCTTTTTTTTCAAGCAAGCTAAAAGAGGAATTAAATTTGCCAATGGCTAAATTTAATAAAGAACTTGGTGTTAATTTAAGAGTGTTGATAAAGTCGGAGGCTTTAATGCCTTTAGGATTAAGATTCAGGATGAGGTTTTCCAATTTATTTTTCTTTTTGCTGATTAGTGGCCTAATGTGTACACATGAAAAAATGTGTAACAAATCTTCAGGAAATGCATCACATCGTGGACACAGGTTGTCAGAGTAATGGGTAGGATATCGTTTGTGCAATTTAGTTCTGGTGGGGAGCTGATTGGCAATGAGTTTTGTCCTAAATGTGGACAGAGCTCTATGTTTTAGTTGATCCGATTTTTTTAACTTGTGGTTTGCTTTGATGATGGTTTCCAATTCCCCAAAAGAAGAAGGTTTATAGATGGCTGATTCACTAAGAAGTATATCAAATAAATTGGTATAATAGTTTATGAATTTGATCCAATGTATGACACTTGTTGCATGAGTATTGTTGATTAATAGTGAAGGTGTGATTGTTGAAGGGAAACATTGAGAAACTAATGTGTTGATTCTGGGAAGAGTGTCGGGTGGTGGTTGGTGATCTTTTAATTTAAGCCATAAAATAGTGAGACTTTTTGATGTTGAGAGAGTGTTGCATTCACTGATGAACCTACTAAAGGGGATTTTAACCATCCTATTAATATAATCGGGGGTTTTCAAATCAAGAATCTTGTTAAGATAGATTTTTATAATTGATGAATTTGGAGTATTGGTAAGAGTTTGATGAAGTACTGGCCAAAAGATGCATCAGAAGTTTGGGTACAGTGTATATATAAGCGTGTTGGTTGGTTTTGACACCGTAAGATTGTTATCTTTTTTATTGAAATATAGATGAGTAGTAATTGGTTGTGTAGTTAGAGGGGGTGGTGAAATTATTATATGTGAGATTATTTGTGGTATGGCTAGGAAGGAGTCTGAGAGTTCCTGGATATTATTGAGAAGATATATTGAATTCAAATGTGTTGTATACCACACTAATTTAAGGTAATTTATATTTTTTTCTTTAAAACATGGTTGAGTTGAACATGAACATGGGACTATTCTTTTGTTGATAAGTTGGTAGTGTTTTCCTTTGATGTTTTGAGAACAACTGGCATTGATATGGACTTTAATAAAATTAACAGATTATTTTCTAAGAAGGCTCAGAACTTGGTTTTGAACAATTTGGAAAGAAATGTTGAGTCACCATAGATAGAAGATGATGAGTCAGGAATAAGAGAGAACCAGGCAGGTATTGGCCCAGGTGTAATGTAACCTCTGTGTGTGTGGAGTTCTTCCCATGCTAATTTAATGTTTTGTTTATAGACGTAAGTGTTATAAACAGTTTTGATATTGATGTAAAAAAGAGAAAGGGTGGTTGATTTTTGAAGCTTGATTATCAATCCAATTGAGTATTCATGATTTTTGTAATTGTAAGGACAAGGAAATGGGCAAATTCTAATGCCATATCTTTTTGCCAGAATGGCTACTGATATAATCCACGAATCTTCAAAATAATAAGAAGAGCAGATTGGGCAGCATCAAATTGCCTGCACAGCTTGTATTGATGTGATTTCCTTTACTGTATAGGGGAGGATTTTAGGATTGATAAATTTTATGATTAGGATTTTGATAGCGGTAAGATCACGGCGATTTTGAAGTTTGACTGTGTTGAGTTCAGCTTGTAAGTATAAGATTTTGTTGGAGATGGTGCACTCTACACCTAATTTGGCTTTGATAGGCCTGTTTATTTTCCTCTGTAGAATATTTATTTCTCTATCGGATGGGATTGAAGCATTAATTGCATAATCTAACTGTGCTGGTATGATCCAATAAGAAGCTTGTTTAGTGATTAGGCCATTCCACCCCTTTTGTGAGGTGATTGCATTGGTAAATTTTTGAACTTTCTCCA